GCAGATGTTGAACCATGAAGCAGATGTTGAACCATGAAGCAGATGTTAAACCATGAAGCAGATGTTAAACCATGAAGCAGATGTTGGTCTGATGGATCCAGAGCCGTAAGAAACAGACTCTGACAACAGGAAGTGACCCGGCACCGCTGCTCGGTTCTGTGGCTCCAGTCAAACGATCAGATTTTCAGCATCTGACTCAAATTGTTTCCTGACTGTCTGTAAACCCCACCCCCCACCTCCACCACCATCACCCCCATCCCCGATAACGGAGGACTGTGGCTCCCTCATCTCAGCCTGACTCTGCAGGACTGATAAGGATGGGGGGAGGGGGGTCTGTTTCTTGGCTAACCTTCGGGGCCTGATGAGTGTTTCTGTGAGGAAGCAGAGGTTCCTGTGGTGGAGGGTGATGCTGACGGAGCTGTTCAGGAGCTGCTGCAGTGGAGCGTGCTGCCGTTCGCTCCGCTCCGTAAATAAAACACGAGTTGGACTCCGAGAACTTGAACCGTGACTTTAATGAGTCAGAGGAGAGCGTTTCCTGCAGAATCTTTGAATGAGGCTGAAGCTCCGGAACAATGAGGTTTCATACCGGCAGTGTTTGATTTCCTCACGTTTTATTCTTACTCTTATTGTACTTAGTCTCCTTCTTTGACCTGGGTCAATGTACTCCAGTCAGCCAGAACATTAGAACCACAGATTGGTGAAGAACAAGATAACTAGTGAATGGTCAGTGATCCAGCATCATTTGGCCTGGAGATCCAGACCCTTTTGAAATGATACAGGAGAGTCTCTGCCTCCGGGATCTGGAGATCTTATTCCTGAGTGATGGAAGAACAGACCGGAAGATGAACCGGTAGCTCAGGCACTCTTCAGCAGTAATGAGGATGTTGTTCCTGTCTGTTGTGATGAGGGAGAAGATGAGTTTGAAGCTGATTTCCTGGCTTGTTCACGTTCCAACTTTCACCCGAGGTTTTGTTTTCAGGACTGGAAACAACAAACAGAGTGGACACACCTTGAGGTTCCCCTGGTAGAGCTGGAGACTAAGACGGTCTGGGTTTCACCTCCACAAACCAACCATTGATGGACGGAGGGATGATCCTTATCCTGGATTCAAACAGGTCTTCTGTAGAACCATCACTGATACAGGTCTTCCTGTTGATTTGCTCTAAAGTTTGAAACTTTGATTTAAATGCATCAAAAACGAGAAAGTTAAACTTTTCAAATAGACAAAACCTTGAAAAAGTTTTGGTATAAATCCCGAGTCCCAGTACTGGACCCAGCCGGGTCAGTTTGTCTGGACTTCGATCGATTGTCATTCAGTTGACAAATGAAATTTCCATCAGAACCGTCCAACAAAGACAACAATACAAACCTGCTCCTCGCTGCTTTCTCTCACTTGTAACAGGAAAAAGGCCCTGTGGTGACAAATACTCCATTATTTGAGCGTTTCTGAGATAAAGTGGAGGAAGCAGAGAGAAAGAAAGAAGCTGGGTGGTTTATCGCAGCCCATCGAGGACGACTCGCCGCTCAAAGGCCTCATCATCAGCCGAGGAGGGACAATGGACAGTGTGGGACGGAGACTGCACAGCGGCAGTGTCTCCAGCTGATGAGGTCCTCGCTGCCATCAGCTCACGGACAGCAGGTGTCAAAGGAAACCAATCTGAGGCGTCCAGAACCGAGCAACTGATTAACCTGCTGCTAAAGAACCATCTCTCCTCCGCCCCGTCTTTATTTGGAGAGGAGAAAGAGACAGAATGAGAGGTGAGGACATGAGCCCTGAAGCTTTGACATTTTGTCTTTATTATCATCTTAAATCAAAGCGTCCCCCAAAGACTCTCAGCTACTGAGAGGTTCGTGTTTCTGTGGACGGCAGAAACTGTCTCTGAAGGACATGGAGGACATCTGGTTTCCACAAAACACAAATTTAAAAGAAGTTCAACAACCTGAGCTGTTCAAAGTCCTGGAGTTTAAAGGTGCCGGTCTATATTAAACCTCTGATCTTCTGTCACCACCAGCGCTTTTACTTGTTTGAGGAAAACCCAAACAGAACCAGGTCAAACCCTGCAGCTCAGTCAGGAGCAGTGAGTTCTGCAGCAGAACATCAAACGACAGAGAAGGCATTAAAAAGCTGAGGCGAGTGGTCAAAGCTAGTCCTCTTTGGAGGTCTGAGGAAGTCCGATTGGCTCCAGACATTTGACCAGACAGCTGATCCAGTCAGGTGCATCAAGTCGGGAACATTTTCCCCCCATGTCACTCAGGTTCAGCTTCAAGCAGCATCTCTGCTGGTTTACTGCCTGTCAGCTGAACTCAGACCCTGACCGGTCCAGGTGGACTTCCTGACGTAATGTCTCAATAAACAAGTCAAACTGGCTTTATGGCGATTTATTAAAAAAGAGAGCAACGTGAAATATGCCACATGTAGCAGGTCCAACAGAACCCCG